TTTTTTTTTTGTATATCGATTTTCACCGTTAGTAGCTTGTAGCTTCATTTTTTTGCAAAAGAAAATGCCTAATACCAAGGATTTGGTATTTTTTTTAAATTCTTTTCTTGTTAAAGTTTGATTTTTCTTCATAAAAATCAAAATAGCTGTGAAAAATTTCCTATTCTGGAAATATGGTATACAAATCCATAATCTACGATCCGATATTAAGTTAACGTGTTCCAGCGTTTTTTGTCATTTCGAAAAAAAAACAATGTTATTAAATAAAAATAAAAAAATGTTTTTCTTAAAATAAATTCGCAATCGGAAAAAGTTAGTCACTAGCATGGAACTGGACGAACTGGTAGAGCTGAAAAGCTAACTGGCAGTATTTTAGTTCACATCTAGTAGCTTTCCCTGCGGGAAAGTATAAAGTGCTGCATGTAAGTATGTATATGTAACTTTGCTAAAGTTTCGGCATCGCCTTAACTCATCTCCTCCACACGCATGTAAGAGTGTTCCTGACTTCTTAGTGGCTCAATAGCTGAGACAAGGGATATTTATATAAGCGTACAAAAGTACATACATATGTAGTATATGCTAGTGTAAGAGTGCGTGTACTCACTTCAGGTTCTTGGCATTGATTGCATTTATGTTCGCGTTTACCAACTGCTTTTGCTTGCCTGCTTGCACACAATCGGGCAATGTCTTAGTGTAATGTCCCTTTGCCTTTGCAAGGACCTTTTGCTGCATGCAAACAATTTCTTCGTATTTGCTTGCAAACGAAGTAGGTAAGTATGCAAGTGTGTATAAAGTTTGCTATTCTTCTTGTACGTTAAGCTTTGTGTGATTGTGTTACTTTTATATTTAATTTTCTATCGTTTGGATGTTTTTTATTTCATTTATTTGAATTTTTCACATTCATGCGAGTATTAGTTGCACGCTACATTAGATCTTTCTATAGCTATAGCATTAGATCCTTTGATAAACTTGATAACACTCTTGGTTGTGCGATATTTGAGCGTTCTAAGCTTGCTTACTTACGATTTGTGTGTGTGTGTAAATGTATGTACTTTCTTAGATACTTACTTTTATTTTAACAGCTGCTGCCAGCTGCTACATGTTGCAGTGGTTGATTATTATTATGTATCTTTTTGACTTTCTCTTCTTCCCCCCCCCCCCATATAAATTTGAACTGTGGCATCGCCCTCGGATTATCAATTTTCCATGCCATACAATTATATTTAGATGTACGTACACATGTATGTACAAAAGTATGAGTTTATGGGTTTAAATTTTCTGTTTTCTGAGGTTAAGTTTTTAAAAGAAAAAAGTATATGTATATGTATATAGAGGTTAGATAAAGTTTTCGCGGTATGCATAAATATTTATGAATACTTCAACTTACGAAAAGGGCAGCTCAGACGGCAAAAAAATCGCATGGTTCTTTCGAAAGACGGACTATAATGCTCTAGAAAACTCTGACCATTTACACTGAGGCGCGGCTTAAATGATCTAGCCCAGTGGCAAGTCAGGTCCTTAGTCACGAAAGGATGCCAAAAGAACGAAGGTGTTTCTTTATTGCCACAAAACTTTTGAGCGGATGATGTACTTTGTCCAATTTGTGGCGAAAGCCTCGTTGTTCAGAGCATCGCGGATAATATACCAGTTTCTCAGCTTCTGGTCATGCGCTTTGTTTAAGAGTTGTCACGGAAAACAAATTTTCAGTGAAAAACAACGAGACTTGAGGCTACTTTTACGAGGTTTTTAATATAACAAGCGCAATTTACAAAAACTTGCGTGTATGTTTTGAAATTTTGTTGCTGACGGTCTCCCGCATTTATTTCATATAAAATTCATACTTATATGAAAAAGAGGCAAAAATCTGTCACCAAAAAAAAAAAATTCTCAAAAATCTACGCGATTTTTTAACCGTTCGATACTTGCACTTAATTACACTAAAATTGCATACCCAAAAATTTGCCAAGAATTCAGAATAAAAAGTTGAAGTTTTGTCGAATTTTCCTAATTTTATATAAAGTTTGAAACCGTGATTTACACAAACAAAATTTATCTCGAAAAATATTACCAATATTTGAAGTAAACCAACACGTGGTCATTTGTTTGACTCACTGTATGTCAATAATCCTACTTCCCACCGAAACAAACTAAATTCCGATGCAGACCTTTAGTACATATGTATATATAAGCATATATGGTTGTACAGTACTTAGCACTTATTTGAAACAAAAACAAGTGTGGAGAAAAATTAATTGACATGTCATTTGCATTTTATTTCAATTATCGAATTGTTACAATTTCTTGCAATAAATAAATAAATAAATTATTATTTTTTGTTTTTTTTTTTTAATAAATAAATAAATTATGGAATAAATAATTGTTTGTTCGGTAATAAATAAATTAATAAATAAATAAATAAATAGTAAACAACAAAATGTTGTTAATTTTTTTTTTTTGAGTTTTTCGTTTTATGCTTGAGTATATTTGTGATTTCCCATTGAGTTATTCATACCAAATTAAACACATATGTACGTGTGGCAATAGCTTTCACAGGAAATAGCGATCTAAAAGTCGCACTTGGCGCTTTCTACAATGCTTAAAGCTAACTAAACACATGCCATTGAGGCTTTCCCACAAAATTGAATAAATACGTAAATTAGCTTTCAATTGTGTATATCAAATATACACACAAGAAATCGATGATTATTGTCTTAGGTGAATTGCTACAAAACACTTGTTCCAACTTATTACTAGAATAAATAAATTAATAAATAATTTTTTTTCGTCAGAAAAAAAAACGATTTTTTAATGGCATTCATTTGGGAGAATTATGCAATTGCAATATTTTAATATTTTCGAGAGTGTTTAACAAAACAACTTAATTCGCTAATTCGTCAAACGTTGAAGTCAATTAAGTTTTTTCGCCAAATTACCACAAAAATTATGTATGTATGTCAACCCTCGATTAATTTTTGCTTTAAAAAGCTTTACTTTGCTTTAATTTTTGCTTGCAATAAATAAATAAATAAATTAGTTTTAATAAATAATTATGCTTAGAAACTAACGAGTGGCATCAAATGTTTGTTTCATTGTCTTCGTATTTCGCTTTCTTTTATAAAAATTTAATAAATAAATAAATTATTACACCTTTAGTTTATATGTGTAAGTATGTACATTCAACAAATAAATATATATATAAATATGAAAGTATAAAATATTTTGTTATTCTTACTCGAATGGCTCGAACATTAATTCATTTCCAACGAAACGTCAGGCGAATAAATAAATAAATAACTATTTTGTTTCTTGTCTTTGACATTTAAACGATTGCAGTTTTCTTAAAGCTATAATAAATAACCCACACCATCAAAAATATCCATTTAAAAATCGCATTCCTCATAAAATAACAGCATTACACAAATGCACAAACGTATGTATGTTTGTATATTCAAACTTTCATTGCTCACATGAGCTTAGCAGAAAATCAAGATGTTCATCGAAAATTTTTTACCTGCAGTATGCAAACAATATTCATTAACATTTATGTATAAAAAAAAAATTTTCAAGGCAGCATTTCTCATGTTTTTCGTCTTCAATCAACTTTGAAATCGCTATGTCTCCTACTTTTTCTGCAAAGCACATTTTGCTTTACACATATCAAATACGTATCTAAACGACTTTCTGCAATTTTTATTTTCTATTTTTTGTATCAAAACTTATAACTAAACTCTTTCGTTCATAGAACTTAAACTGATAAATATATCGTAGATATATGGCTTTCCAGTGGGACGATTGTACCTTCTAGGAAACGGGCTAGTTTTCAGGTGAATTGCAAAGAGCAGAAATTGCAAGAAAGCTAATGCCCAATTTCCACTAGGCGCTTAAATGACAAACCAATTTTGCCTTCGAAAATTTCCAAGTAAAATGAAGCTTGTTGGCGTGGATGTTTTTTATCTCCAAGTTGGTCATTAAAATTTTTATTATTTTATGTGCTGTGGAAATTCGGCATTATGTCAGCGTTTCACTGGGAATTAAATGACAAAAAGTGGGCACTAAATATTTGAGAAAAAATAGTAATTAAATCTGTTTCCATAAGGAATTTTTCAAATGTTAAATTTTTTTGGTCATTTCAATGCTTAGTGAGAAGTCGGCATTAGCCATTTTAGGACAATACAAATAATTTCCACTAGGCATTTAAATGACAAAAATGACGAAGCATTTTCTACAACAAATCACATGTGGAAACGGACTAATAGGGAAATTTTGGCAACAGTCTTTAAACTCACAAAATTTTTTCACAAGTCAATTGTCAGTTCTGGAAACTAATTGAACGCTCTTTTCTGTCTTTCGAAAAACTAGTTGTGAGATATGATGACGGTGAGGCCTTAGCGTTATTCTGTTTGTCTTTTATTTTCAAAGTTGTGTTGTTTCGAAATTAAAATAAATAAAAAAAATACATTCTTCTTTTCAAAACAATAAAAACTAAAAACTTGTAAATTAAAAAAAGAACAATAAATTAAACTTTAAAAATAAAATTAAATAAAAAATAAAAATTTTTTGAAGCAATAAATCTTAAAAACTAAAAGAAAAGTGATCTAAAAAAGAAAAGAAAATTAATTAAAAACGAAAAAAATAAATGTAAATATAAAAAACGATATCTTTAAAACAATAATAAAAGGAAAAAGCTTCAATCTAAAGCAATAAGGGGTGAAATTTAATTAAAAAGGGAAAAAATACATAAAACAAGTTTCCGAACATCAAATGAAGAAAATATACATATATTTTTTTTAAAGAAATTAATTATAAAAAAAAATTTAATCAAAAAGTAAAGCAATTAATTCAAAAGTACGGGTAATTGTAGGGGTAGGGCGTGCAAAATAATATATTAAAAGAGTTTTTCTCTATGAAAGAAGTTTTGTGAGAAAAAAGTGTGTATCATTACATTAAAAATAAAGACCTTATTTGAATGGTAAACATTTTATTTAATTTTTGCCATTTTAATGTCCAGTGGAAACTCGGCATTAGACTTGTGCTCTATATCAGCTATGACCAAAACATATCCCACGGGAGCAGTTTTGTAAAGCTTTCAATGGATTTTATATGGACCCGAATAGAGTAAACGCTCTCTCTGAAGCTCACACTCGCTGTATATACCAGTAATTCGATTTACTTTTAAAATTGTATTGTTATATATGCTCAAAAGCGATAAAAAGCAATAATAATTGTGTATAAAAATATAAAAAAACACTTCTTTAATTCGTTGATCACTTTTGATTTGTGTGAAGTTAACAATTTGTCACTGGACATTTCTGAGATTCAAAAATCGTAAGGGCATTAAATGTAAATATTCGATTAAGAGAACCATTTATGCATTCAACGCGAAATTTGTTAGTTGTTGCACCTTTTGCAAGGAAAAAAAATTACTCAAAACAATTAACATTTTGTCGCAAAAAGCTTTTCACCACACGCAATGGTGCTTTCGAAGCTTTATATTATTATTGCAGCGTTTTTGTTGCGCCAGAATATCGATGCAATAGAATGGCCCGATTAAACTGCATTGCTGACAACTCTCATACAAAACCTAACACAATTACGTAATTTATCCAGATTTATGAAGTATTTGTAGGCACTTTCTTAATTAACAATAAATAAATAATTTAATAAATAAATAAATAATTGAGTTCCTCAATTTCCGCGGATAAAAAAATCTTCATAATAAATATGTCTGCATACTATACATATATACCATAAGTCAATAAATAAATAAATAAATAAATAAATAAATAAATAAATAGCAATAAATTAGCGATTTTTCAAATAAAGCCATTTGATATGGCTCTCATTTTTGCGCTCATTTGCCCTTTGAATCGCCAACTTCCACTGGCGCTCCACCACTCTTTAACATCACCTACCTCACGCTCTTCGCTCCTTACAACTGATATGGATGACAAAATTGATAAACCAAACGCTGTGAACGTTCCGTCTTCTTCATGATACCCTTCTTGTAGTATTGTCTTATTGAGCGCGACAATTTGTCATAATTCATAGCCGGACGATTTTTACGCCCGCCCCATAACTTCGCCACCCGCACGGAGTCTTCGATTTTAAATATGCCACGATTGCGATCAATCCAACGTATGGCTGTGCCATGTGTATGTGGCTCGGCTAATAGTTCCTTCAGGAATTGCCATAGATGTATGTGTGAGCCACCGCTGCGACCGGTGCGTTTAGTTTCAGCTGGTTTTGCAACAGCCAAGGCGCTGGTAGTTGGCAACATTTCCTCATCATCTAAAAGAGTGTTGCGAGAGAGTAAAATAAAAATTGTGTTCTATTGATTTTAAAAGTTGAAAATTTTGTACCATCGCTGTCCTCTGGTGCATTGCTGCTAAAATGGTAGCGCCATACCTCCAGTTGAGCATACAAGTCGGAGCCGCTCTGTAATATATTTAGGAGAGAAAAAATAGTAAGTCAACTAGAGATACAAGAACTTTTGGTTGTGGATAAAAGATAAGATAAATATGAGTATAGTTCGAAACTTGTAACAGCGCTCTTACACGATATGTATTTGCATATGTAAATGCTAGTTTGAAGTATCTACTCGTACGTACCATATATTAGAACGTGCTAGAGAAGTAGCATTTACATATATAAGAGCGCTATAACTAAAAACATAGCTCATGGGATCATTTCTTGAACGGAAGTTTCTTGAAACTCCCACCAAACCAAAACCATAAAAAACCAGTTCTGTTTTCTGGGTAAGCCAAAGTCATATTACTTAGCTGCATCACACTTACGATTTACCTATTGCCTCTCTTGTCGTTAGTTTTTGATATTACTTTTGGTATAAAAATTCGGCCTTGTCTCGCCGAAAGTTTGTAGCTCTCATTTACATAAATTTTGTATTCACAATTTAACCTTTTTCTTCGCTTCTTTGGTGTCATTATTATTGTTTCTGTTTTTGTCTTCGCTTTTCTAAATATTATGTAAGCGCTTTTTTGGGAGGAGACGTTGTTATACAATCAAATCACAACTGCAATTTGATTTTAAATTTGATATGCGATTGTCATCAAAAGCATTTATTTTAATTGAAAATTGATTTAGATTTTGGTGACATGAGGCTGCGGCCAACGATATATGCAATAAAAATGTTATGAAGATGTTTCGATTTTTATACATATGTATGTAACTATTTTGTAATTACTTAACCAAATGAATTTGAATTTTTATTTTTTTTAGTTGTTTTGGAGACGATACATAGTTAGGTTCTCTCTTGTCCAGCAAATAGGTCAGTTTAGCCCGTAATTCATAATCGCTGATCAGCCGCTCCTCCTAGCGTTCTTTAAGTCACTTAAACTCAATAAGGAGGTTCTCCTCAATATGCTCGGATGTCCTTGAGATTGGACGTAGATATATTTAGCACATGCTCGTCATCTTTAAAGCACTGCTCCAGTATCTCAAGGAACATTGCAGACTGTGACATAAGGCGACAGATTACAAGCCTTTTACGTGGCTGCAATTTCCTGCAGCTTGTAATATATTGATTGATTGATTGAAAATAAATGTATGCCTTGGCACCCACATAAGTGTAACGGTATTATATTTGCATAGCTCGCATAATCTGTGTACGGCCCTCCGCATAAATTTTCGCTTTTTCCACTACAGCTGAACAGGTGAATATCTTACCTGACCTTTGCACTCTCTGTGGTGGGTTGGTAGCAGACACAAATATTTCGAGCGCTTCTACCTCAAACGTAGGCTCCATTAGAGGCCTTTCTGTGTACACTAAAAATAAATAAAAATCGGAGTTCCACTCTGTCTGATTAGCTCCGCAGGTGGTAAGCCCTTAAAAAGCCCCTCTGCTATTCCCCATATCGAAAATGTGTATCCCGATTTCGTGACATAAAGCTCTTTCTTTAAGTTGAGTATTAGTTTTTCTCTCTGGCGTCAGGATTTTTTAAAGGACTTTATAATTTGACAGATATGATTATGTAATACCAAAAATTATTCAAACCATTCAGTGAAATGTAGAATAAAAATATGGATACTAAATGCAAAAGAAAATTCTGTAGAGTAAAAAAAAATTAAATTTTTTGGCAAAATGACATTTTCAATACAAAAAAAAAATTTAATTGGCCTTAATTCTACAGAATTTTCTCTTTAATTTTGTACCCACACGGTTTTCGTTCACTGCACTGAATTTGTTGAAATCAAATTTCAAATTTCAAGGACCTTTTGAAAAAATCCTGACGCCAGAGGGAAAAAACAAAACCGCAGTTTTACTATATTTGGGCCGTGGTGTCGCGAATGTAATGATTTTTTCGGATGTAAAATTTACTGTCGCGCGGTGTAATCAGCAAGGTAGAATTTTTAGGTATTAAATAATAAATAACTTGCCCTCGATTAAGTCGCTTTCGTTTCTCTAAAATTTGGGTTTGTGAAACTACATTTAAGCTTCTGACTTTTCTTTTATTTTTTTTAAATATTTTATGGACAAAAGCTTTTAAATCATCTACATAAAATAACCTATGGAGTATATAGTGGCAGGAAATTTAAAGTTTATTATTTTTTATGAAAATATAGCTCGTTATCTAGCGAAACCTATGTTAGTCCCAATATCAAACTTTATATAAAAGTCCGGAAAATTCGAAAAATTTGCATCAAAATTTTAAACTTTTTAATCAGAATCGTTAGAAAAAAAATTTGACCGTTGATTTTTAATAATTTATTTATTTTTTGCTGACGGTGTTACGCTTTTTCTTCCATATAAAACAATTGTCGTACATACTTTTTTTGTTTTATTTTCCCACCACTGTAGATTACGTTCAATCTACGATTTCCTACCGAACTCCCATTTCTTTCCTTTTGACTTATGCTCCGCTTTGACAGAAAATCCCTGAAAACGTAATTGTTTTCATTTTAGTCAGCGCAAAGCATTTGCCTGTTGCCTACACTGACTTGTGTAAGAAGTGAGAATAATTACATATATAATCATTGTTTAGGTGTTTCTAGAATTTTGGTTATTAAAACCCCTTCCACTACAAGAGCATCTGTAACATTTACCCGAAAACGCGACACATTGCCGGTCAAGCATTCAGTTGAGTCGATGGAGTAGTGATTGAATGCATATTTTCATATACATACAACCATTACAACTGACTTAGTGACCAACAACAGTCAAACACTGCAACAACAGCAGCAACTGTGGATGCACAATATATGTATACCAATAACAACAATAACAAACTAAAACCCAAAACCATTAACATTGTGATATTTATAGACAAAAGAGCACATGAATGCGCCTGCCAGCGATCAAGCCGACCAACTGAGCCGAATTGTAAGCGCTCAAGATGGGGACGTAGCAGCGGCTTGTACGGGGGCTAGGCTAGTGAATTGGCCTAACAACATGAATTGTTACACACAGCTAAGCCTCCAAAAGACACGCAATATAATATACATACATACATACAGTATATAGCGTAGCCGAATTGAAAACAATAATAAAAACTACAACAACCACAATGACAAAGTCGGCTCACTTTCACCTTGCAATGTCGTTGCTGGTCGTTGGCTCAGTTACTTTATTTCCACATCGGCATCGTCATGCGATGTGTAATGGTTTTTTTTTCTTGTTTTTGCTGATATCGCTTGCATTGGTTTAGTGGAGCGCTGTGGTTTACAATTTGCCGCTCAGCAACTAGCCGCACAACCACGCTGAGTCTGTCTGTGTCTCCTCTCACTCTGACTCTGACTCTGACTCCATCTCGGACTTTGTGGCGCTGAGTTATTGTTGTTGATGGTTTTCGTGTGTTATGCACATCGCATAAGATTTGGTAAATTATCACAATTCGGCGCATAATAATTTTCCAGCTGGTTCATGGCAGTAAAGCAACAACAACGAACGGCCTTTGAGTCGCCACCCCTGATGCCCCCCCGGGATGGTCGTCAGTCGTCAACGTGCAGGGGACGATACGATAGCGACAGTTACAATTTCACTAAACAACCTTCACACTCGCATTCTTTTTCACCTTCGTCCATGACCACGGTTACTGATTTTTTTCGTTTCGCTTTTTTATCGATTGCATTGCTTCTGGTCACTCTGCGCGCGTGCTCTTCTTCAACTGGCTGGCTGGTTGGCCTGGTTGGTTCGTTGGTTGGTTGGTGCTTGTTTGCTTGCCTTTGACGTGATCGCGGTCAATCTGTCGCTGTTGCTGAAGCTACTGTGCGTTGCGCTCTTCCACTTCTGCACTTCCGAAAGATTGGCAGCCGATATGCGGTTGTTGTCGTTTTTATCGCGATTGTTTTCATTGCTGTCGAAAGTATGTCTTTGTTGTTTTTGTAGGCGCTTTTGCCGGTTTCGCTCTGTAGTTTTTCTTTCGGCTATGCTATTCCATAGTTTTTAATACCTTTTTTTTTTAATCAAGTCTACATAGGTGTCTAGCGTTCAATTAAGTGTGGCCACTTTTCTAAAATTTTAATTAAAATACAACGCAGGAATATTGACTTTACTAGTGAGAAAGTTTTTTTTCCCTATGTTTTGTATCCCTAAACTTAAATATCAACATTTTTACTTCATCATAAGATTATTGATATTTATCTGAGTGGGTTGCAATATGGAAGCAGGTCTTAAAATTTCGTACTTAGATTAGAACCTTGTGAAAGACAAAAAAGAGGAAGGAGCTTTAACTGTGTTATCCACGTAGATCTTTTCGGAATTTACTGAGAGGCCTGAAAGCGATTTTTTCTTGTAATGAAATCAAGGTCTTAAATTTTGTATTTGCACGATAAATTCGAACATAAGGTGCCATAGTTTTGTCACACTAAAGTAAACTGCGTAGCTTTCATAGAGCAGCAGGTGCAGGACTTTCAGGTGTACTTGAATCTTGCTAGGGACAAGTACTAAACGTTATCCTCGTCCGATAACTTTGTACATTTCGTTTCTTTGTCATATTCGTATTTCTATTCGTAATTGTACTCGAATTCACATTCGTTTTCCATTTATTGAACTCACTTCTAGGAATTAGCATATCTCCGTATCTAAAATGCAATATGTGGCAACACTCTTTACTCCAAATGTCAGCGATGTTTGTAGTTGCACTTGTTTATAACACAATTTGTGCTACTCATTTACTTTCGTTTGCATACCCGTTTATAGAACAGACACAAAAAAATAAAAAATACAAACAAAAAACATATTGGAGGCAGCAACAATTTTACTTTTTCTCCAAAGCATTTTCGCCTCTTTTTATCCCAACTCTCGCGCTCTCACACTTCCACCTAGCTACATATCTGTTTGTTAACATTTCTTTTTCAACTTCCATTTTGCTGGTCCAAAAATAAATTTAACACATTCGGCCTACCTCTCCCTTCGTTAGTGTCCAATTTGCTTTAAGGTGCGTTAAAAGCTTACTAACAGTTAGTATGCCGCTGGTACATACATATGTATATGTATGTATGTACAAAATAAACGTCTGCGGCAACTTGCCATTTAACTTTTGTTGTTGTTTTGTTTTGGCTTAATTATGGCTTTTAGCCGCGCGCGTTGCTGCTGCTTTTTTGAGCGAGCATACACTAGCGTGCGCTTAAGCATACGGAGGTGTGCGTGTGTGTGTGTGTGTGTGTGTGTTTGGACGGGCGTATCATCCGCGCCCCCCCCATTCAGCAGATGCCTCAACGAAGTAAATGACGTCAACGCAGTTACGAAACTTGTTTCTGCAATTCTCTCGCGTCCCCTCTTCGTTTACATTGTATTTTTGTTGTTGTTGAACATGCATGCCTATTTATACTTATTTGTAAATTTGTTTTTCTATCCATTTTTGTACAAATTTATTAAGTTAGGTTTTTATGATTTTGTAACTCTTTGGAATTTATATATTTGGTATTTAATTTTTTTGTGGCCGCTTTAACAAGCTGGTCTTTTTTTCCAACTAAATGCTCGCTCTGCCTCATTCATTTCTTAGTCTTGTATTGATGGCCGATTTTCATTCGATACACTCAATTCATCTCGGACACCCTCGCACAGCTTTGTAAGCTCCCTTTTAACTGTATTTTTTGGGGCAAATACCTATTACCCGTACAACGTACAGCATTTGTATAGCAGAAATGCTACTCATTTCTGTTATTAATTTTCATGTGCTCCACTAAGGTACGACTAGCCTAACGAGATGGTCTTGCATAATATAAATTTACCATGAATTTGTCTGTAATTTGCTATAATCTTTGATGGACCCAGAAATGCTCATATGTAATAGCTTTTTTTATGGAGTTGCTCATTTCGATTTAAATTATTTTGTTTATTCATTTGTTACTCACCTCTGGCACTCTTTGCTTGAATTCATCCTCGCTGAGCAAAATTAATGCTGCACCATTTTCTGAAAATTTCTGCTCCAAGTTCACGATTTCGGGCAATTTGAATTGTGCCACTGTAGAACGTAGCCAAGAATGTACTTGAGATACCGACCAGTCGCAGGGATCTAAAAGAAAACGAACAAGCGAGTAAGTGCATATTGAAGTGTGATATTCAAAATGGCGATAAGAGTTTAGTGGTTTCAAAGAGTTCTTCACATCAATTAAGGAGGTTTTATTGGGCAAAAACTAGGACATGCGCAATCATGGGGTCCTTATTAGGCAGTCTGGATCGGCAGGCGGTCAAAAGAGCTCCTTATATTTGCAAAGGCACAGACTTTCGTTTTTGTAATTATATCTAATCTCTAGTCTAACAGCTGTCTGGCGGGCATTTATTAGGAGGAATAACCTCAACCCTTTCTAAATAGTTAGTTTGATCAGCTTTCGTGAGGCTTACACATATTGAAGTACCTTCGGTCGCACCTTATAGCCGCACCTTATAACCAACCCAACCCAAAGGAGGACTATTAGAAAGCTTTAAGGTAATTGGCTGCGCAGATGACTTGGCTAATATGTTTACGGCAAATTCTTGCTAAAACCTAATGAGCTGATGGGATCGGAGCTGGGTTCATTTTCTAAATGAGCAAACGGAAATGGGATAAGAGTTAAATACTTTAAATTGTAGCCCCAAAGACTGAATGGGAGTAAACTGAACCTTTAATTCAAAGCGGAACACTTAGGTATCAGCTTTGGCTTCAAAATTACGGAGAAGAGTAATGTCGAGTAAATAGCGGCTGCCAACGAATGTCGAACGACAGTATGTACAGACAGTCATCCGAACGATTATTACTTACGGAGTTCTAGCCTGGTAGCACTAAATAAAAGCAGCAACACAAGAAGGGTTAAATCTAATTCCCCACTGGACAGAGAATAGGGGACTCCAAATGAGCCCCGATAAAACTGAATTAATTATCTTCGCAAGGAAACATGGGCTCCCCGTTAATTTTCGAAGGCGCGGTGATTAATTTGAAGGAGGATGTCAAATATCTAGGGATAGTATTAGATAGCCAGCTTACGTAGAACGCTAATATAGAGGACAAAGTTAAGAAGACCAATGTTGCATTATACACATAAAAGCAAGCTGTCGGAAACAAATGTGGACGGATACCTGGATTTACACTTCGGTAGTTGGGACATCGATTCAAAAGGCTAGTTACCCAAAACAATACATCTCTGGCAGTTAAAAAGACCACCCCATATAAGGCGTTAGAGATACCTGCTGTAAATCTGGTAAGGAAAAACGTGGCCGCCGCTTCGGCGCTCAGACTAAAAAGTCTGGCGTTATGGAGGGGTCGGCGATTTGGCCATGTCTATACTTCACACACTGTATGTACAGTTGTTTTCAAGAAATCGACTACTCCGCCCCTGTACCCATCTTCGACTGGCTCTTCAAGATGAAAATCCCGGCAAGAAGAGAGTGGAAAAACTTAGGTACCATGGAGAAGAGGGGAATTAAATTTTATGATATTAGGTTTTCTCTGAGGGGTTAGGATTATCCGTACGAATTCCGGCCCACTGTAGCGTTTATCAGACAGAAGTTCTAGCCGTAAAGGAAAGGAAGTGGCTGTGTACCTTACTACACACACCGTAAAAAAGACAAAGATAAATATCTTCTCGGAATTTAACAAAAATAATTCGAATAAGACTCCTCCGCGCTTTTCTTTTCTAAACACCAACCAGATTTGGTTAATCACAAACTGTTTACCGATCAGTTCTTATGTGGTAAAAGGAAGCTTCACTTACCTTTAGATATCTGCAGTTTGGCACAGGTCTCCACTGCCTGGCTCTTCGTATCCTCTAGAGCCATTGATATAACTTGTTCGATATTGCCGCTAACTTCGTCCATGCTGCCAAAACCCATTCGAAATCGGTTATCTTCAAAGAACTCGCGGAGCATTTGTTGATCTTGACTTTGCTGATTGTTTTGTTGTTGCTGCTGCTGCTGCTTTTGGTGCTCCACAGACATTACCGATTGTTTCATTGCGCACGCGTTGTTGCTGTGCTTGTAATCGTTGCAAGCTACGCTAGTGAATTCCTTTTTATCGAGCAACATATTCAAGTCAATCAAGGTCTCAACATCAGCATCGATGGGCTCCGATTTGATATCGACCCACGAAGAATGCGGTGATGGTGCTTCGCAATTGGACTCTGGCGGCGATGGTGGCAGAATATGCAATTCTTGTTTAATATTGCAGGCATCTAACGAAGGATACGGCGAAGCGGGCTGCAGCGATGAACGCGATGAGCTTAACGACTCGTAGCAGCTGGCAAACTGTGCTTGTGGAAAACCGTATTCCGACTGAGCGGGGCTCGATTGAGGTGACGGATAAATGTGTGGATATGGAGGTGGTGGTATTAGCTGATTGGGTGAATTTAGCATCGGTTGTTGTTGTTGTTGTTGCTGTTGTTGTTGTGGCTCCCGTTTGATCTCCTCCGGCAGGGAGATAGAGGAACCGAATGACCAACCTTGCTCGATTTTTATTTGGGGCGGCGTTAATAAGGAGTTGGTCGGCGCAGGTGGCGCTGTTGTTGATGTTGTTGTTGTTGTTGGTGGCGATGTCGGTGTCGTTGGCGTACTACAAGCAAATTGATATACAATGGTGGGTATATGGCCAGTTGTTGAAACGCAATCTTGAGGTAGTAGTGATAGATCGAAATTGTTGGCGTAGGCGGCAAAAGGATCGCCGAAGGAAGATGACGCAGACGACGAGGGAGATGGCTCGAGAAATGTGTTTGCGGAAATTGCTTGTTCCACCTTAAGTGAAGGCAACAGGTGCGCAGAGGATTGCATCGGCGTTGATGGGTTTGTCACAGTTGTCAGCTGCAACTGCGGCAGAGTTTTAGGTGAAGAGAAGCAATTTGCTTGAGCTAACTGGAATGAGACAAATGAAAAAAGTATTTTTTTTTGTTTTAAACGCAGGTTAAACTTTTTATAGTCTTTCAATTTCTATACACTTATGGCTATACTGGTAATGCGTTTGTTACACAAATATCTATATTTTTTCCTAGCTCACTCTTCAAATAATCACTCACTTCTTTACTTGCACTAGTTCTCTATTGTATTGAAAGGAAAATGCTTTGAAACTTCAAAATTGTAGTTATTTTTAGCCTATTTGATCTACTTGTATCACATTCACAGCCTTGACTTCCGCGTACGCTTCCATCGAAATCAGATCAATCAAGCAGTCTGGCCGCTGGCGGAGTGAATTCCGCCGAATACACCGCCAACAAAGCGCGTCATTCTAAAACTAGTCGCTCCAGCTTCCATGACACAGCTAAATAATGTTAGCTAGCGTGCCGCTAAACGCCAATGCGATCGATGGCTTGTCTCACCTGCAAGCCGAGGTGTTTGCACGCTGGATTGTACGGGTGTGACGTTAGAGCGGGCGGGCGCGCGCGGCATTGTCTGCGGTACATAGGGCGACTAAGAGAAAAACCCCAAGCATTATAATATTTGCTAAACTGTGAAAGCCCGTCATAGGCCAGTGGCTGCCATAGGCTAGCGCAAGCACCCCCGCTTAATGAATGACACCTTGGAGAGCGCACGCAATCACGACAACCCCGTTTGAATGAATACGACAACAAAAAAAAAAACAGCGAAAAAAGCGTTACAATAAAATTGAATATAGTTGGTCAAAAGGGCGCAGTTAGCGCGCTTTGATGCTGCGGCATTAAGCTTCAGTACCGACTCTCAGCGGCCAGCTGTCACTTCAACTAACCGATGTTTGTTTTTCGTGTACCTGTATATTTTTAGAATTCCCCTGCAAAAGAGAAATATAGACAAGCTTCAGACAGCCTAAATTCTAAATCATATTCAACTAGTCTTCGACTTTCAGCATATTAAAGCTTTAGCTGATTTGAGGCGTTCTTTTGGCTACGCTCATAAGAGACTCGATAAAAAGCGCTCAACTACTGATCAAGCTTAGGTGCAAAGCCGCGCTGAGTCTAAGTAGTTGTTATTGGTAGCACATTTTTTTCTTTCTATTCTGATTTGTTTGTGTATATAAAAATATACAGCGCCTGTTGTACTACACATATGAACATATGTGTTTTTTTTTTATGTATCCATGTATAAAAATAATTTATTTATGCAATTTTTTTTATTGCTCATTGGCAGCCTGAGAAGCGTATCGAACACGCCGCACAGTGCGCGGTTTTCAAAATTTTTTTAATGCACATAGGTACATCATCTAAAAACCCCAGGTTTTTGGCATATAATATTTTTACCTAACCTATAGAAGTCTGAGTAAATGGTGGCGCTTTAAAAAGAAAGTGGACCGGAATAGTTTTATTTTTGTTTCTGTGATATTTTTCTTAAGTCTTCTTCTTCTTTATTGGACAGCGAAATGTTTTGTTCGCTCTCGATATGCCAAGACTTGTGAGCATTTATCTTGATTTTTCTACTAGACTAGGATTCCACAGGCTGCAATCGGACTGATGATATAGCCATTCTTTTCGAAGAGTCCTTTCTGAGGTATGTTAAGCCGATAAACACTTATTAACTCTCTCCTCCTATGTACATCCCTTTTTCAAGTACATATGTTTGGAGTGCAAAATTATATCTACATATTTTGATTTGGAGAAGAGATTCATGTAGCTACTTTTGATCTCGGCAGAGGATGACTGAAAGACTAATTTTGTTTGGAAAGGATTAATGGTTGGCCTACTTAGTAATGTTGCTGGTGCTTTTTCTATTAGCTCAATTATGGTTGGCATGAACTTGTCGGAGATAAGTAAGGCAAAGTTGCCGGAAAAGACGACTAGCTTTATTACTTTTGGTTTAAGTGAGCTCAGAACAACATTTACATGCCAGCTAGAGCCAAAGGAAGGGTTAAATTGCATGCCTGACTTGGGAGTGTGAATCCTGTGCCTTGATTATTTTGCTCTCAAGCAAGGAGCCGCCGAATGCCAGTAACTAGGAATGTTCATTTTAATGCATTCTTTCGAACATTATCGGAGGTTTCTTCATTGCCTTGAAAACCAACCAGGGCATATTCCTTAAATTCGAAGGTTCTGGTAAAATATGAAAATAATTCTCTTGAGAATAAAAATTCACAAAAAATTTTTTTCCATCTAATTAGTCATGACAATGGATATTTATTTTACGATGAGAGTAAATGTACATTCTCATGAGCGTCAATTCATATATACCAAATATTTGTATACCATGTTTTCACATAAGAAAGCTTAAAGTTAACTTAACAGAACATTTTTGTATTTACCTCTTTGTAAGCGCAACTCTTCCACTGTGCGAGTGCTAATATTGTAGCCACTGGCTGATTTGTAAAATGTTTTTGGGGTTTTCCAATGCAAAGCCAGTTTGAGAATAAGCGCAGAGTAGAGACAGAAAAGTTAAATGTTGCTGTTAAGTTCTAAGCACTTGCACACATACATACATATGTATGTATGCATGTACATATGTATGTGCTTTCGGCGCTGGCAATTTTATTCAAATATTGTTTGAAGCTCATATGCGCGTATTTAGTTACCCACACATGTGTGTATGTAATAAAATGCAGACATAAATATGTAAATGCTAACTAGTCACGAAGTTATTACATTTTTTATTGAGTTGTGCTGACAACTGAAACTAACAAAAAAAATAAAATAAACATAAAGCAAAGAAATAAAACAACAACACACATCTGGGGAATGTAGAATAACCCAAGCTTGGAAAACACTACGCTTACAATGGGGCTTTACAACAACACGTCAACGGCCACTGGCAGCTGGCAATCGTAATCCAAGTGCTGGTGATTGTGGGCAGATAAGATAATATGCCATGAACTCTAGCTGTAACAATATTTTTGTAACAAAGCTTGCTGGGAAAAAAAACAAGAAAAAAAAGAATAACAACAAGTAAAAAAAAGTACATAGTAAGCAACAAAGAAGAAATCACATACATACACACACATGCCTATAAAATCATATGAACTTGTCAATTGTGCAGGCAAATTAATGAATTCCAATTTTCTAAAAATAGCACACTTCATGACTATCTGACCTAAAAGACAGACAGACAGACTGACAGACAGACAGACGAAAATATGTACTTAACACAATGAGGCAAATTGTGTTTCTCTCGCGTGAAAATTCCAAATCGATTTATGACGTTTACACTTTGAATTAAAAATTTATTAGCAGCAACAGTGACAGGTGCCGAGTTTTAGCAGCCGGAGGAGAAAAAACCTAAACAGCTTACATCGACACTAGCATGTGAATGTATTAAAGCTGACAATTGTTTATACATATCATATTTTTTACGAACAATTGTATTTTGTTCAATTATCCCATTACTCGATTTATTGCATATTTAGAACATTGTTGCGATTGTGTTAATGTTTGGAAAACTCCAGTTGTGTTGGGTTTTCTGGTTCACAATTATACATATTTACGTGCATTTGTATGTATTTGTTTGCTAACAACAAAAGCAGCATTTGTTCTATACTGGATAATTTAAGTAGGAAGTGTTATGGAATTTCCACAGTGATCTAATTTTATGCGCAATTTATTATAACTGTAACAGGATGAGATACGATAGAAATGCGATAAATATATTTTAAAACTTATTTGCGTTGTATGTAAAATGAAGAATTGGCAGCCGCCGTAGCTGAGTGATGCGTACGGAGTGGTAGGAACTGGGTTCGATCCCTGGTCGAACCAACATCTCCTCGGCAGGCAATGGCAAATCTCCGAGTGCGTTGAAAACGCTTATCATGGGAACCACTTGCTATTTGTAGGCGACGCAAAATTGTAGATGCATTCATTTGTGTTATAACTGCCCCTTGTTAAGGGGCTCACTTAGACCGCGGACTTTGGTCCTTTGTGTAAAGTTAGAGCGTGAATTGCTGAGAGCTAATAATGAAGCTTCGTAGGTGGCAACTGTTATGGTCTGATTATGGTAACTTAGCGTAACTTATGGCTCTCACTTAAAAATTCTATTAAATGGATGTTGCTTATAATTGAACAGCCGAAACTTAACGCAACTTAATGCCACGTCGAAATCTGTTTAATTTTGATTCTTTAAGTTCTACGTTCCGTTAAGTTAAGTAAAGTTGAAATAATCAGGCTTTAAGTTGCGGAGAGATCCTCCCGACTTGTCAGAAAGTACGCTCCTAAGTGCCGCAGCCGTAATCCGTCAAAAGCTGGGGAGTCTATGAGGAATTGAGTTGATTCAGGAGGACGCTCCATACAGCTGCGACAAATGGGATCCGGATTTAATTTCACTGCATGAACCCCGATAGGATAGAAATCCAGCTTCACGAGCTTAAGGCGATCCCTAGACCACCCATGGGCCACTCTCGGCCAGAATGACCTCGCTCTAGCACATGCCCTGGTTTTCCTCCAGCGTTCGTTGAGTTCACCTGAGGCCCGTCTTTTGAAGAGAAGTCCACAAGTAGGCAAGGGAGCTCCTCTTCTTGCGATAGTTCCTAAAGCGAACCGCCTTTGGCCAGTTCATCAGCCGCATTTTTTCCTGCGATAACTCTGTGACCGACGCCAATTACTCCCATCCATCCATACATTCCAAGGTGGGATGTGCGTTGAGAAAGAGTTAGCGTGCACCCGCCTAGGCTTCTTACCCATCTTCCCTAAAGAATTTTTCACAATGGGAGACAGGAGCAATTAATTTGCCTTTTTTTTTGTTTTTTTCGAGCTTCTAAGACTCGAGCTCTTGGAATCTCACCTTTTCAGAAGCTTGCCAGAGATAATAGAGCTGAGTCTATACGACTTTTCCAAGTTTACCTTGATCAACGTGAAGACTAAGATTGAAGTTAAGATTAAAATTAAAATTGGGATTAAGATTAAGATTAAGATTAAGAGTAAGATTACGATTAGGGTTAAAATCAAGATTTTGATTGAAAGTAATATAGA